CGCGTCGAACGAAAGCGAAAGCGAACTTTTTATTTACCGCCTACCATCTCAGATAGGAATCAATCAACAACTGCTGAACTCTTCCAAAATTTCTGTGGCTACACAGTGCACATGCCGAAGACATTCTACTGGGTCATATCCATGGAGGATGCGTCAAAGCATCGAGAATAGGCGACTTCAAGAACCGCTGACTCTGCATCGTAACTCTGAATTCAAGAAGAAACCCCAAATTTAAAATGATTTATACTCTTGAGACATGTAAATGATCAACTCACAATTAATCTTCAAAGTCATCTCTCAACAGTCTTATTTGAACAGAAAAAGAGACGGCTCTTTCATGACATATCCGCTGACAGAGAGGTAGGACTGGCTCCGTGCCGACCTCGTTCAGGGATTCTTCTGTTCCGCTCTCTACGACCTTCTTGCGATACAGCTGACGGTGATTTGGACTGTAGAATATATCTTCGTGATTCATGACCGGAATTGGATGGATATAGATCTTAACGACTCGAAGGCGCGGACTTGATCCTGGATGTAGCGCTTGGAAAACACGAGTGTCAAAAGCATCAAGTTGATGAATTATCGCCAAAGCATTTTCTTCAGAATTGTCGTCGTCAGGTATACCGGAAGGGGAAAATGTGATGTTCAGCTCCTCGACGGAGTGAGGGAGCACTTTTGCGATGTCGAAGAATTTGGGATCCCGACGGTCGCCACACAGGCTGAGCGAAAGAAGTGAAGGGCATGAAGAAAGAATGTCTCCGACGGTAGCCTCGCCGCCGCCGGCGTATTCGAGGTTCAACCGTTTTGCAGCCTTAAACGCATCCAGTACGCTGTCTTTGAGCACGCGGCCTGGAGCGCCCAGTCTCGCAGACAACTCCACCAAATCGAAGGTATTTGAGTCTGTCGACGACTTGGACCTTGACCATGAGGCGCCGATCAAAGGGCTCACGTCGAAGTCTTGGATGCTGATATATTCCAATGAAGGAACGGATAACAAGGGCGACAGCCATTGAGGCACGAGTGACGGCCTGGCACTGTCGAAAGATCCGCTTGTAAATCTTACAAGTCTTAGTTTTGGAGGTGCCGCCTTTGAAAGGTGCTGAACGAGATCATTCGACCTTTTATGTTTTTCTTCCGCCAAAGTGGTAAAGTAGAGTTCTTCCAAACTCGTAAGAGACGACAACAGCTTGCAGAGCTCCGCGATGAAGATATCATACGGCCTCGATTTGTTAGGAAAGGTATCCAAGTGAAACGTCCGCAAATTTGGTAGACGGGTGAAGAAGGCACTGACGGTAGCGTCGTGTGGAATTGGCGATCTTTCTTCGAACCTGATTTGAAGGTCTCGCGTCCACGGCCCCAAACTGGGGTTCGTAAGAGAGCGCGATAACGGAAGTCGGCCTGATGCATGACAACTGTGGTAGAAACCTAGCAGCGGTCGCGCGCGCACATGCCAGGAGGAGTGCACGAGAGCACAAGTGGAGAGTGCTTCTCTCCAAGCCGTGAGTGCATCCTCAAAACTTGATCCATACTCGGAACGCTCGGAACTTGTTGGCATTTGTCCATGATAATGTTCCTTGACATCCTCATAGACGCCCCGTAATCCATCGCTTAATATGCCTAGTGCACCTTCGAGGACGACCTCTGGAATCCCTGTCTCACTCCCCCAACCGCGACGAGTTACTATTTCGACCCTCGACGAGGCAACGAAGGAGCAGAATTCTCCGCAGTCCTTGAATTTGATGTCCTTCACGTTGAATGAGGGGTTGCGAATCACCGAAAGGAGGGCGTCGAATGCAGGGAGGGGAATTGCACCGTCGTCTTTCAGAAAAAGTTGCGCAAGCAAAGCTTGGGACGGATTGTTGAAGCGAACCTTCGCTTTCCAAACTTCGTCAAAGCATTCGTTGGCCTCAAGTTGAGGAATGTTGGAGTTTGCGACCATTATTGAGTTCGAAGAAAAGATTGGGGAATTTGAAGGTGGTCGTTCGGCTCAAAGTCGTGGTTTGTCGTTGGCGCGCGTATTAGGCGCGGCGACACGTGGCGGCGCGTCCACTCGACTCAAACTTGAAAGTATAAACTTTTTATCATCTCACGGAAGAGTCAACAAAGTACTGCTAAACTCTTCAAAAATTCTCCCAAATCTTCAACAACCACCGTTATAAATTTTTGGAGGTACTAATACTGAAGAATCTTGCAACAACTTAGTAATCGAGTATGAGCGCTCTTTACTAGATCTTCTCCAATCCAGGAGACATCCAATCATTAATCTTTACACTAATAGACTATGGTCAGATGTCAAAGTAACCGTAGGTGAGTGAGGAGCAACGCCAAGGTAAGTATTGCGACAGCAAGTTTATCTTCGCCTGCATCCTCCTTAACAAAATCCTTTCAACAGGGTTAGAAACAAGTTTATCTTCGCCTGCATCCTCCTTAACAAAATCCTTTCAACAGGGTTAGAAATGCAAAACGGGCGGAATACGATCACGTACTGCTGTCCTTGCATTCAAACGAGGCGCGAAAACTCGCACACAGATTTACGCACTTCGGGAAACAAAGCGCTCCAAGCGCGTCCGAAGACGAATTTCCTGGACCCGATTGGCTATAAAATGAGACGAAGATCTGACCGCGACGGAGGTTCTGCGAAGGGGCGTCACGGAGGGCAGCGAGAAGCTCTGCATCATAGGAGTGATAATCGGTAGGAGCCCTCATAGGAGGCAGATTTATGGAGAGCTCGGATGCTCGTGGTGACAATGAACGAAGAGCGCCAAGCGGTCCCTTCCCAGAACCTGGCGAATGAAGGCGAATGCAGAGACTCTCTAGAGAAGGGCTCCTTTCAAGCATGACCACGAGCGCTGCCTCCTCTCCACCGGAGACACACTTGACCGTTAGCTGCTTCGCCTCAGAAAGGAGCATCTTTTCGTAGTCCGCCATCTCTGGCGAATTTCCGGAAGCACGAGGGAAGGACTCGAGCATGTTTAGGAGGAATTGCCCCGGGGAATCTCTCACCCATTCAAGATGCGAGATTCGAAGACAAGACTGATCGATCTCGACGGTTCCTCGCGAATGCTCTTCCTGTTGCATGTGGAGGGTCCGCAATCGTGGCATGGATAACATGCTAGGGAAGGGGCGAGGAACATAAGACGAATATGTCGCGGCGTCGTTGGAAACGAAACGGAGCACCTTCAAACGAGGGAGATGCAATTTGCAGAAGAGATGCAAAATACCCGCCTTCGTAGACTCTGGAAGAACGAGGATGAGGTCCTCTAGAATTTCCAGTGTGGAAATGGCTTTGCAAATGGTCGACGCGATCGGCTCGTGCAGCTTCAATTTTAATAGGTCGAGTCGGGTGAAGCGTAGATTTGGCATGCGCTGGATGAGGTATACGAGTTCGTCAGCCGACTGACAAGAACGCAACGTCAAATCCAGCTCGCGCGTCCAGGGACCAAAGCAAGGATTCCGTATAATTCGAGAAAATGGTTGATTCTGGGACATCAAGACGCTCCCAAGGGCACGTCGCGCGCGTAGCAACCATGACGAATGGACCAGGCTGCAGAAGGCCAACGTGCGGACAGCGAAGGAGAATGCCCAGCAGTCTGCCATGTCTCTTGCAATACGCATCACACCGTATTGCCGCCGGATGTCGGAGGCTGCGTTCAGCAGGTCTACTTTGAGGATGTCGAAAACACAATCCAGGACAATCTCCGGGACTACGTGTTTTGGGAACGTGAGGGAACGTGTTTCGAGGGAGGACGTTTGGACGGCTCTCGACTTTGCAATGACGGCGAATATGTCTCCAGAGCTCGTGAAAGTCACCTCTCGAGCGTCGAACGCGGGATTTCGGATGGCCGAGATGACGAGATCCAGAGTTCTACTGTCAAGACCATCCGTTAAGGAGAGACGAGCCAGCAATGCATCGGAAGGATTGTCGAAAGAAATGAAGCAAGATAACTCCTTGTCGAAACACTCCACAGGCTTCATGCACAAGTTCGCTGGCGAGTAGGTAGCGATCATGATGAAGACCTTGAAGACTTTGAACGCAGCATCGATGGCAGCTGTATTGCTTTATCAATGAGGCGCTTTAGGGAGGTGGTCGCAATGCGTCGATATTTCGGCGAGAATGCGATGCAGCAAGATGAGTCGGCGAAGACATCGATTGAATGAATTTGAAGGTTTAATCTCCCGTATCTCTCTTACTTGGATGCTATGCTGCCACTGTGCCTAGAAGAAATGTCAGTTCTTGAGAGATATTGAAGGAAATGTCAGACATGCATTTTCCTTTCGTTCTCACCACGAAATTGACCTCGCGGGTTGAAGTTCTTGGTAGACTGCTGTCTGAGACTCTGACACGGAAAATCAACTGCAGCTCAAACTGTTGGGGTTTGATGATGGCTTTGGAAGCAGTGTGCGAGAAGGTAAGGCGGCCAGTTATCACTGGCAAAGAGATCCAGCCAGCCCATAAGAGTGTGAAGGTGTATTCGGGATATCGTTGAAGATTGATGGAATTGAATGCGATCGAAAGGGCGGAGACACATGATGATATGAGCAAACACATTGTTGATTGCAAAGCACGAAGGCAACTTACAATTCGAACTCGTCCTTCCGATACCCAAACCTCTCCAGAAGTCATCCATTACATTTTACGTGAAGCATCGATCCATTGCGTGACGGGCGGAGGATGGAGTATCGTTGAGTATCGTCGTCCGACGTCCATCATCGTTCATGTACCATCAAAATGAGCCCGCGACGGGATTCAAAGGTTTCGAGCTTGAATGTGAGCGACGACGTTGTGGTGACTTGAAGAGCTTGAACGCATGGTCAACTCGGAAGAGGCGCTTCAAACGCCACATGCCAATGTGCTACTACATGTAGTAACGACGGGCAAAAAATGAATGGGTATTACAGCGAGAAAAATATTGTCTTGCTTCGAAACAATTTTGTAAAAGGACGAAGGGAGAAGAAAAAACCTAAAAAAATGACTTTCGGACGAACCGAACCTCAGATGATAGCAAAACCTCGTCTCGATCGAGGGACCTCGAGGTTATGAGCCTCGCGCGCTTCCACTGCGCCATTTTGCTTCATGTCTATGAGACCTAATGATGCAATATAGGGTGCAGCAGTAAGATAAAAATTCCGCGTTGCTTCCGGAGCCCTTCGATTTTTTCCATCTCTTTCGCCAACCACAACCTCCAATCAAACAAGCCTTAAGGTCTAATCCGAATTTCACCGGCATTTCCTACCCTAATCATGCCCTACAGCCAGTCCTGTTTGAAGTCAGGCTCGAAAAGTTGGTCTGAATCTGTAACTTTGCAATTTTAGAGGGGGCTCTCTATTGGTCGATCGATTTTGGCCTTGAGGAAGTCGTCGAAGCGTGTAATTCATGTAGCTCGTTACGCCGAGGCAAGTTGTCAGTATGCTTCTTGATGTTCTCCTTTATCTGCGCTCATTATTAAAAAAACCAGCAGGGCTGCGGCCGCAAACTGATGTCCCCTCGTGGAGTCGAATTTCCCCGATAATTCCCATCCGGCATGTTCCCCTCGCTGTTGGATGGAGTTGTTTGACGTTCAGCTCAAGGAAATGAAGCGGTATGCGGCTTGCCGACGGATGCCGGATGCCCAGCGGAAGTGTTGTTGACCGTTTGACAGACAAGTTTTGTGGCAGAACTGCGTTTTAGGAGATCGAAGGGCCGGACCGCAACCCGCACGGCACAGAACGGAAATATTTTCCTCTCGGGCTGCATCTAAAATTGGACCACTATAAAGACTCACCACCGTGTTGCTTCCGACGGAGCACTAGTCATACGTTCCCCCTCCATGAGCTGACCCATTCGCCCACCTAAGTATCGTCTGTATCGTCTGAGTCGTCCTTTCGATGAGTCTCCCTGGCGAGCAGATTATCGAAGAAAAGGACCGCGGAGTGTCGATCGATCGCAACGAAATCTTGGACGAAGCCAGATCTCACCATGAGTTAGCGGAGAAACAAACACACTTCGACATGCATCACCATGATAGCGACGAAGAGACGAGAAGAGAAAGCCCTCCGAGACTACGGATTCAACTCCCTGAAGGAAAAGAGGTCTCACCGACACATTCAGAAGCGGCGAGCGTCGAAACATTTCATTTTAAAGAATCGACTATCAAGGTGCACCATTCAAATGATCCAAAGGACACTCAGCCCGCGAGGACAGAGTCTTTTATCTCTTTCATCAAGCGGAAGTTATCTCCGAGGTTTGCATGGATCAAGAATAATTGGGATTGGCCGCACTTCGTACCAGTTATTCGAGGAGCTGTTGCTGCATGGCTTTCGCTCTTGTTGATCGTCATTCAGGGCGCCGAGAATATCGTCGGGCAGGCAAGTATCCCTGAATATAGCTCTGTTTAATTTGATAACCTAATTTCTGTAGGCGAGTTTCCTCATGCTCATGGGTACGAGTTTTCGCATTGGCGTGAATATTGATCGAGATTATAACTGCATTTCCCATAGTCGCCTTTTTGGCCCCGCCAATCGAACCAACAATCGGCGTCATCGAAAGAGAACTGGCGATTCTGTTGACTGCATCTGCCTCTCTTACGTTCGTACTAGTTTTTTCTATCCTTCAATGCAACGGGACTTCTGATCCTTTATCGCAGATGGGCCGTCATCGCAAATCGTCTAGCGAATCTCGCTCGGAAAAATTTTGTGCCTGATGCGACGATCCATGACATCTTCGCCGCGAAATACATTGAAGCCGGGGTACGTTAATCATGTCTAATGAAAGAACCTCGAAGCTCAATATACAGAATTAGCCCAGCGTTATCTTTGCCGTCTTCCTCCTCACTGGTGCCGGCTTCTTCCTCTATTTGAGAGGTCGGTTAGGCGCAGGCCCATTTGCCGTCGCAACTGTCCTTGCTTGCATCCTCCTCGGTAAGCCAGAGGCCTGATTTATTGATTGACATTGACACGTAATAAATGATGAATTAGATGTCTCATGCACCGTCGGGCCCATGTATCCGTATGTGAACTACAAGGTAATGTGTCTTTGCCAGTTCACCTCTAGGACGTTAAAATAATTTGTGAAGCTCGGAGAATCAGTGATGATTCCCATCGCGTTCCATTCGGCGGTGTCCATGCTCGTCGCAATCTTCGTCCTACCGGAAACGATAAATTCGCAATATCGAAAGCGATTTCATGGCGTGTTCGCTCCGTTGTCGAAAGCTCTCAAGTCGCAGCATTCTTTGCTTACAACAGCTCCTGTAGCAGGATCGTATGATTCAACGGCTCTGAAAGGACAGGTCACCGCGGCCGAGAAGGCTCTGGCTGCGTTGGCTGCTTCCGGGCGCTTACTGAAAAAAGACATCTCGTACGGTCGACTTGGTGCTGGTGATTTCAAGCAGCTTCATGCAATCACTCGTCGTTTGACTGTAAGAATTTCTTCTCTGCTGCTATTTTTATGACTAATTGACGTCCGTTTGTAAGGTAAGAGCGCACGGAATGGCTTTCTACTTCAGGATCATGGATACCGTAAAAGACTTTACTTCAACAACTCCAGCTCGATCAACAGCCAGCACCCCGTTCATGACCCCAAGCCCTTCAGTGCCGTCCTTGCGCGACCTAGCGACCAACAACTCCAACGCTCCCTCCAACGCCTCCATTTCGTCCACGAACCGACGTCGTCGCAAGAAAGGCAACCGTAGCGACCTCTTTCTCGGTGTGCACCTCCGCAACGCACAGACATTCTTTTCGCACGTTCAGAACCCATCCTTGATCTTCCAGGACGCGGTCGAGCGCGCACAGGAGAATATGGTCGGCGTGTTTGAGTCGCAGCGCTACCTGAATCTCGAGACGAAGCTCACACATCGTGACGCGGACGTGTTCATGGCGCGTATCACGGCGCTACTCGGGGAGAGCGCAGCAGACCTGCTTGTATGCTGTGCGGATACGGTCGACCATATCGACGGATGGTTCTCGAGGATTAACTCAGATAAGTTCTGGAAGATATTTCGGTTTTGGAAGAAGGGGAAGCCGATTTCGTGGGAGGAGAGCATACGGGACCATGTCGACGCGAGAGCGAGATTAAGACGCGTCCTTGAGGAGTATAGGACCGTGAAAAGGTACATTGAACTCCTAATCAAAATGGTGGTTTCTCTCAAACAAATTTTAGACATGCCGTGCTTGATCCATATCGCCCTTTCTTAGAGCACGGTCTAAAGGACCACCTTCCGTCAGGAGAAGCCCCTCCGCATCGCGACCTATTCAGATGTTTCGTTTATCAATATCATTTAATTTATTTATCCGAGGACCTTATCCTCATGGTGAGTCTCCCATCTTACGAAAGGCGCATATAGTCGACTCATCAATGCCTGCGATTTTTTTGCAGCTGGACGAGATGATCAGACTCGAGACTAAACGCAAAAATAATCGATTATGGCTACCTATACTGCCATGGCACAAAATGCTATCCTGGAGCAGGTGGGATGCGCAAGAGCATGACTCCATGAGTAACCAAGATGAAGATCCCGGTCCGTCTCGCTTCTCAATCTTATAACTTCTCATCTCAACGCACTCATGATTCTTGTTCATGTAGATATCATCCCAGGACTCGACAGAGAAACAGCGTTCGGGACGACAGGACCGAAAGGGAGAAACCCTGACGCATTACCACCTCGAAACGCTCTGGAAGTTTTCGGAGGCTTCTTATTCAGACAGCTCAGCGCGTTGTCTCATGGAAACGCGGTTTTCGGTGTCAAAGCTGGGATCTTAACCAGTACGCATATATCCAGTTCAAATCATTGGATTTTACTGACTCGCATTGCCAGTTATTCTAAGTTTGCCTAATTTCTTGCCAAGCTCTTCGAGCTTTGCTTATCGTGCGTGGTCACAATTCTCATTATTCCCCAACAAATAAGTGACTATATGCGTCACACAGACAACAGATCGGTTTGGGGCATGTACGTCGAATCTATCCCTCAACGATTCGAATGACCTTATCGAATTTGTGCAGTGTTCTCGGCCAGATTACACTCGGCCGTTTCAGAGGAGATACAGCTTTCGGTTGGACTGCACGTATAGTTGCAACCTTCTCTGGCGGACTCGTCGGTATCACGATGTGGTAAGTAGATCTAAAACTTTGGATGTCGTACGTATAGTCTGATTTGACGACTCTCGAAGGTACACGTCGACAGGTCTTGGTACAGGAAATGCTTATGGATTGGCAGCGGTCAATGCTGTGTGTCTTCCTATATTGATGTTCATCCGTCAATATTTCCCTGGGCCCCCAATGACGGTGACCATTGCATGTCTTACGACGCAACTTGTAATTGGATATTCATGGCAAGATACGCATTTGCCGTCTCAGTCGAATGCAGGTAAGTTTGCTACGAAATCTTATATAATCTTATATATTAACAATCTCGTATAGGTTACGGCTTGGAAGTTGCATATGTGAGCAAAAGTTCGAAAGATCTATGGGTGCGGAAGCTGAATGTTCTTCACCAGAAACGTTTCATCTCAGTTTCCATCGGTGTCACTATAGCATAGTAAGCGTTTACTTTCTTGCTTGATCAAACTTGACAGAAATGCCGATTGACCCATAGTATATTCTCATTCTTCCCTCCGACAACGACTATCCGAAAGTACCTTCGGGTGAGCTATGCAACAACAGCGGGATCGATCGGCAAGCTATACTGCGATATCGTCTCGTATGCGACGGTGCGGAAGGGACCTATGGCCGAGGAAATTGTCAAAGACCTAGTCGCGGTCCGGATGAAGCTCAACCGTACGGAAGAAATTAAGGGAAATGTTCACTATGAGGTACATTCTTGGCGAGTGTTTGTGTTTCTCGGTGGTTTAATGCTCGAGCGTATCCTTTGTAGATATCTATTCGAGGCAAATGGCCGAAGGAAAGATACCAAGCCATCCATGACATCCAGATGTAAGAGCATATATCACACCGTATTTGCGCCTTCTGAGTAGATCTATTAGGGAGCTGGCGTACCTCTTATCTCATCTTCGTTCAGTCGCAGAGCATCTGGAGACTTCCTGGGCAAGAGCCTTCCTTCGGCGAACTCGTTTCTTGGAACCGGAGTTTCAGGGAGATGTG